GAATTCTGTAATACTACTCATCCTCTGTCTTTGAGCCCCAAAATCCTACAATCCTTCTACGCAGAAAGCCACATCTTTAGAACTTTATTCTACGCTGATGCTTGAAGAACAGGTCTGTTCGATAACGAGTAGGAAGTGGAGCACCCTTCACCCCAAACAGCCAAAACCCACAAGCGTTCCCTTCTGTTACTCTATTTTTGGTGTATAATCCGTGAAACCTCCTCCTTAACCCGCCGCTGGAGGCTGGAGCGCCTTGCTCCCGGGTGCAGGTAACATGAGGAGCTGTTTTCCTCCCGCTGCCTCTCCTGCCCGTCTGACACCACCGCCCGCCTCGGCCCCAGCGCTCCCCATCTGTCACCCACCTCTGACTTTGTGCAGATTACTTGAGGATTTATTTTCAAGCAGGATATAGGGATGAAAATAGGCATTACTTTGTCCTCCCACTCCTGAGCTTCTACCTATTTGTTTCATTAACTCCTTTTAGGTTGTCATGATATTATGCTGTAAGCTCTTTAGGGCAGAGACGGCCTTTGGGAGGGATACGTGCACAGTGCCCACCCCAGTATCCCCAGCCTCGCTGATGGAGGTCTAGGAGCACTGCAAGAAAAGGAGTATTAAATACTGATACTGAAATACTATGAGTCAAGTATGGTGATTCAGGCCCTAAAAGAATGAAAAACCCTGTCGTCAAGCAGGGACCGCCAGGTCACAGACCACACTCTCATCAACTGCGCTCTGTTCATTTCCAGATTTAGTTTTCATTAAAATGCAGTCCAGGATTAAAAGAAGTCAGCTGGATCTATACAATGGGGTAATTTGCAATATTGCACCAGTGTACAGTCTGAATGACGCTACACCAACATGCCCTCCTGTGTCATCTTTAGCTCTGTTGTCAGGAAAAAAAAAAAAAAAAAAAAGGGAAAAATCAGTCTAATCTATGAAAGGACAAAAATTCTCTGCTTCATTGCTTCATATTCTGGAAGGCAAAATATTTTTCTACAAGTTATCAAAAGTAGTTGTTTTAAGATGATTACTTTAGTAAATACGAAAATCTCCTTCTCCATTGCATGTTCTATGCATACACTACTTTTAGAAGAACAAAACGTCTGCATTTTTCAGAAAATCACAGAGGTAACAAAACTGGTAGCAGAGCTGCTTTGACTGACAACGTTAACCTAAACATTTTTTGCTTTGTGTTGTTTGTGAAGGCTTTTTATTGCAGAAGGGGGGAGCAGTACCTAAAATCCTCACAAGACTACTTAACATACTGGTGAAAATGTAGCATTTCAGTGAAATTCGATATTTTCTTTCATCAAAGGCAGGGAGCCTCAACCCACATGTTAACAGTAATGTAACAAGCCTACTGTATGTGCTACAACCAAAGATCCTTTTCCAATTAGAATTCATTTAGGTTGGAGGAGAGGAGGGGTCGGAGCAAAGAGGTGGCTCTGGAATTGATCTAAAACTGGAATTCAACCATTCTGGCTGGGAGCATTAACCGCTCAGCTGGGAATCCCAAACACTTGCTCAGATTCTGCAGCGAACCAGAAGTGAAAGAGCAATGTTAGCAAGGAGGACAGTTTGTCCCTGGAAAACTAAGGAAATGCATACAAGATTCTTTTTCTACAGAGGAGAAAGAAAAAAAAAGTCTGTTGCACTAGGGAAAAAAAATGAAAATATTCTTTAATTTTCCTGAAACTCAACTCTGAGTTTGCTTTTCAGTCCCAGCTCCGATAGAATCTCCAGATCAAACTCATTAGTGTTGGTTAAATCCAGGTTTGCTGATAGAAAAGTGTGGGACAGCAAACAAAATCAGTATCAGTCCTCGAGAGAGGATGTGCCTCTTTAATTGAAAAAGGCAGAGTAATCATTCATTTATTTAACCCAGAGATGATTATAATCTGAAAACCTTGAAATCCTCTTACACAACAACTGTTTTGGCAAGCCCCTCTGTGTTCCAACAAATATTAAACTGTGCTTGCCATTTGTCTAAGGAATCTTGTATTAATAAACATGAAGAAGAACACTTTTACCTCCCACACTCAATGACAGAAGAAAACAAAGACCAGCTGTATTCATCAATGGATCCTTGTTCTGCACATAAAGGCTAATTACATTTTACTTCAAGCCTACACATGGAAAACTTTGCTGCTGCCATCTTGTCAAATTCAGCTTCTGATATTCCAGCTGACAGACTGCAATGACTGCACATAATAAACTTCTTTTTGCCATTAACACCTTCAGCGCCCAGCACGCGGGGCATGTGCGGGATGCAGGGGCAGCACCTCTGCTCCCGCCGTGCGCACGTCACCCGCTCGCCGCCAAAGGGACGGGGATTTTTATAGACTGGGATGACAGGAGCTAATTTGACTGAAGATGTTAATTTCAGCAACTGATGTCATTTGAGGATGCTCTGCTAGCATCAAGTTTGGACGGTGCCTCCGTACCTCACTTTGCACACAGTACTTTGAACGGGGACATTCTGAAAAGATAAACAAACAAGTTGACATAATGATTTTCAACTTTAAGATCACAACAGCCAGTCGCTAGAACAAAACCCAGACTCCTTACTGCTGATACAGAAGACTTCTTACAGTGTACTTCTTCGGCTTCTTTTGCTTTGTTTGAAAGATTTTCAAAGTTACAAACAGTTGAAAGACAGCTTTATTCCAAAACTGAAAACCTTAAAAGCACTGTTAGCTTTAAAAAATTGACAATTATCTTTTTTTTCCTGAAGGCACTCCAATTCATCTGCATCAAATAAGCGTCTGTAAAACTAACAATTCTGGCCTAAGATAAAAATCACATGTTTTTAAAACATAGCATTAAAATTGGCAATACAAGTAGCTTTTCAGACTTAGATCAAAAGAGGGCTTCTTTTTAGAAAAGAATCAAACTGTCTTTCACCATTTTTATTGGTGTTTTTTCAACATTTCCCCCAGCTTTTAAAATTAAAATAGATGACTCAATTTCACTGTCTACATTCAGTTCCCTTTTCATGTTCTTCTAGATTTCCATATTGCAAAATGTGGGCTACAAACTCCACAGATGACTGCTGTTATGCAAGAACTATTCCTGTCATAAATATCCAAAACAATGATAAAATATTTCTGTTGTTATTAGGTCCTACAAGTTTGTTTTCACAGTACATTAGTTTGAGAGATAAAGTACATGCTTAATGTGTGCTTCAGGATTCAGCTCCATAATCACTATATTCTAGACTCAGCCTTCATAATCATTCTGCTACAGAACACAATAAATTCGTTACTGCAGAGACTACTAAATTTTATGTAATTCTGTATGTATTAGGTAAGAATCATATTCAAGATCATATGACAATAATTCCATGTTAATCTCTCTGAAATAATAAAACGTTAGAAACACAAGCCAACACTTTAGAGTACATCTTTTCCTCAGTATAAGATAAATTACAGCACTTAGGGAAACAGTATTAAAAAATGAAGCAAATAATCTGCAAATAAAAACATTAAAAAGGGTGAGGGGTTATTAGGTTCAGTGCCTACAACCACTGATCTCTGATCTCTAACTGATCCTGCAGAAGCGACTGCAAGACAAAATCACAGCAACAGAGCTGCCAGCATCAGTTACATGCAGAAAAAAAAAAATAAAGGCAATCTGCAGTAATTTAAGGCTCCATCAGAAACATCATTAGTATGCATCTCTTAGAGAAGGATGAAATCAATGAGGGAACAAAAATACTTTTGATCACTTTATATGGAACTCAAACGAAACTGGACTTACAGAGCAAAACCAAAATGTACCTAAGAAATTATTTTGAATGATGTAAAAGGCGTTTCAACTCCAAGCGCTGATTCTGAACTACTATGGACTGAATTTTGTAAGCTTCAAGTTCCCCCTGTGGGGAATCGTATCCTCGATGCTCGTAGAACCACACGCTAAGAAATTAAAACTGGTTGCCAACTGGATGTTTTGAATAACCTGTATTATCTAGACTGCCATGAGCCGTACCAGAAAGCACCTCTCTACAGACAAACACAAGGCCATGCCACTCCTCCCATCAGGCCTAGGCTGCAGTTCCTCTTGCCCCAACACGGAGACTGCCAACAGCCTTCCCTTACCCCTCCTCCTGTACCACAATGGTGCTGAGGGCAGGAGCAAGGGTTTTCCTCCCTGATCCCTGTCCTGCGGGGAAGCGGAGGGGACGCTGGGGCTCCGCGGGACGCGGGCAGCGGGCGCGGGGATGTGATGTGCGGCTTCCAGCCCCTGCCCTCCCAGAAGGCCAGGGACACCCATGCGAAGCGGCTGCTGCTTTCCCATCCCATTTCCAGACACAGAAATTACTCCTAGGGCTTAATACTGCTGATCATGAGAATTCCTTCTCATTACTAACTTTCCTTAAATACGAATGGTTCAAAGAAAACCAGCAGAAGTCTGTCTCTCTTTTGTTGTTTCCTGCTCTGATTGTTAATAAAACCAGGGCATAATTGAAAACAGTAGCTATTAAGAAGACAAGGATATATATTTTTGAGACTAACTTCATGCTCTACTTGAAAAAAAGAAAAATCTGCTAAAAATGCTACTCTGTAGTTTGGGAGAATTTGACAGAGTGATGACTGCTACCCCAAAATCAGAAAGAACCACGGTGCCTAATGGCGAAACAGAAATCTGAACTAAACAGAACTAAATTTTATTTTCACCAAGATTGGAAAATCGCAGTAAATATCTTATTTCTGAAAATGCCCTATTTCTAAATAAAATATGAGAGCTACATAGTAGATGCAGCACCTGAGAATGAAACCAGGAATGCAGCAGCATGTGTGCCAGGAAGTGTCTTGTTGGGTGGAAGAAAATACAAAAACTAATAATCTCTCTATAGGAGGCCAAATTCTGACCATGTTTTCCAACAAATTTGGACTCCCGAACCTCTTCCATCTCGTCCATCTCCAACAAACAGATGCAAAACAAAAAAGCAGTGATACCCCGAAGGAAGACATAGAAAGAAAACAGTGAAATCTTACTTTGCAGTAGTTTCTTCATCGTATTTTGTTTTCAGATCAAATAGTTCTGTTCTGGTTTTTTCCAAGGCTAAAAGGCATAAACATGAAGCATTACAGTACTGTAACAGCAGTGAAAAGCAAAAAGACTTCTCCTTTGTCTTTTATTCTGCCATAAATAAAGCTGTACACCTCCTGATGAAAAATTCTTTGCTTTATCCTTCTATCTAGGCAAACCACTATGACTTAGAAAAAACACAGCTTTTGATTCTTCACAATTTCTTATGGTACTTCCTTTACATTGCAAAAATCCCCAGTTTCTGCTTAACAAAGCTAGACAATATTAATTTCTTATTAAGCTGACTAAACTGCTTATTCATTTGAAATATTTATCACAGTAATTTAGGGAATAAAATTTCTTCTGTTCTCATAGTAAACAAAACCAAATGTGTCCAGACCTGGAATGTGTAAGTATGCAGAGATGAAAATTAATGGCAAGCAAGTCATAGCATCAGGCAAGACACACTGGTGGAAACTGGGTTCATACTGAACCCAGATCACTACATGTATTTACCATAGTTCAGAAATGTGTGAAACCAGAGCAAGACACAACATGGATGAAAAGTTCCACGGCCTGTTTTAATTACAGTGATGCTCTACTGCTGTATGTGCCTCAGGCTTGGCCTCGTCCACTGTGTTTACCAACAGACTGGCTGCAACACAAGGGTGATGCCCAAAAGAAGCTCCAATTCACAAAGCATGTTCCAGCTCTGTTGGATCTCTCTGCATTTGCAAGAGCTGGTTCACACACAGTCCTGATACATTTAGTGATCTCTATCCTCTCACCTCCAGCCTGATCATTGGTATAGGTCAGAATAGCGATGCCAAACCTGTTTGCAAAGCTTGAACTTTGTGTTCAGCTTCTTCCAGCTTCGAGGCTGTTGACATCTGTGTCTCCTGCAATTTTCTATAAAGGGAAGAGAAGAGGTGAGAACAGGGCTCGTAATCATGTTAAACAACTTATTTGTATTTTGCAAATTTGGAAGATAGAGTGATTAAATGTCTCAGCTGTAATCAGACAACTGACAACACCACACAGACTACAAGGTGCTTCAATGGGACCCATAAATCATGTCACATTGCAATACTGTTCATACTTTGCAGTCCCACTTATTAAAATTTTAACAGTGTAGCCACCTCATAACATAAGCTGTGAACATTATACAAGAGTTGACTGCTATATAAATGACAACTTTAGTGGAAGGTTTTCTTGAGCATAATTTGTTTTGGAAATGTCACACACATTAAGAAAATTGTCACCAAGCACCCTCTGTTGTACAAAGTTAGTACAAGAAGAATGATACATTTCCATTTTACTGTCATAATGAAGAAATTTGTTGCCATAACTGATATAGTGAATAGATGCGGCAGCTGTTTCATCATAGCTGTAATGGATGCCAAATGCAGTAATATTATTAGCTACTCTTTAAAAAATACACACATATTTCAAAACAAATCTCACATTGATATTTTCTATATAACATGAGCAAACCCCTTTAATATGCTCACATTTCTATGTCTACAGGCAATATTTTCTTGTTTGTGTGTCATACACGTTTTAACATCATCTGGCCATACAGCCACTACACTCTTTGCTAAAGGCTAGACTACAGGAGTTATAAAACTCATCTTTGAAAGGGAATTGCTCCAACATCTCCTAGGAGTTGCTGCTTTTTACGACATCGCTTTTAAGATATTCTGCAGATTTCAGAATTGTGAAATGGCTTATGAAACTACCAGCATCCTACTTGTACTCCATAGTGTGCGTAAACTTACTCTCTAACACTACTGACCAGGTTAATAACTATTTATAGCAAGAAACATGCATCAGTTCCCTTCATCCTGAATCATATACTTTGAGAATTCAAAACCTCTCTCATACACACTTTTACTTGCATTCCACAACCTGGCACATTAATTTAAGTATTATCTAAATTGCACTTGTTAAAGACTCTGCTTACATGCTACTTATCAAAAAGTAACCACATATACTGATGAATTTAAAAAAAAGCTTTGCATTTATCAGTAGATTCTTCCCACTCAGATCTGACTTTGAATAACCAACCCATCAGCTAAAAAGCTCACGTAAACTGAAGGGCTTTCACACAAAGTTGAACATATTACAGCTTCAGTGTTATTGTTCCATAGGAGAAATAAATTCTCAAGGTAGGGAACGCCACTGGAAAGAACTCCCTCTTAAGTCCCTTGGTCTGGTCCTGTCTGATTTGTTTGACCAGAAACCTACAAGATTCAGACATTCCCTGCTCATTTGCAAAGGATTAGAAATGCATCCAAGATACTTCCAAAATCAATAATAAAAATATCTCTTAATTTTGACATGTGGGAATATATGCAAACCTTTTCAGGACAATTCAGGAACACGTGCCCTCTCTTAGACATTACCATGGGAGCAGGAGGGACGCATCTTTTAGCCAGGCTCCTGGGTACAGTGCTCCATCCTAAAGAGCTCAGGGTTGTACAGATTGTACAATGGTACTGTGACACACAAAGCGGACACAGGGGACTGAATTACAGTGCCGGCTAATGGAGAAAGATTAGCGTCACAAAGGACAATACAGCTAGTGAAGAATAAAAGCAGGTTTGCACCCTTCTGAACATGACACCCTCCATACAACACTACTGCAAAGAAACAATCTGTCCTTGTTTTACTTCCACACTTTCACGATTGTTTTTCTGTGCAAAGTTGAGTATCAAATGATTCCGTGTCAAACACATAAATCGCCAAAATCGCTCAATATATGAGCTGTCTCAGTACACTGAAGAGAGAGTCCTGGCTGGGAACATTAAACAGAAAATTACATCTCTCCTCCTCTACAATACCTACAGATGCACAAATGCACACTCACCTCTCTTTCTCTGCGAAATCATTTTGTAACTTTTGTTCTTTTTCAAGGGCTATATTCTCCGCTTGGTTCTTCAGGGTCTGTTCATATTCTCGGATTTTCTCTTTAAGTGCTTTTATTGTAACCTCTATAGAAAAACAATAGGGAAAGAGTGAGTTTACACAGCTCCACGTGGTTCCACAACACAAGGCTTTCTTTACCCTGTAGGCTCAGTGTGTTTTAAACTTTAGCTCTTCAACCCTGACACAAAATCAATGGATATGAGTCCCTTTGGAGACCTTTTACTCCCTAAATGTTAAATTGAACTTTAAGTGTTTAGGTTGAGAAGGATCAATGGAGTTTGCTGGAAAGCAGAGTGAAGAAGGTTTCTCTAACATGACTTTAAAAAAAAAAAAAGAAGAAAAAAAAAAATCAATTGTAAAATATAATATCACCTTATTGACTAGTCTCAAATTAGCTTGCTGCTGAGTGGAGATTAATAAAGTCCCACTGTAGGTTTAAGTACGCATTTACACATAGGACAGTTAATTCACATAACTGTGCTCATGTAAAAAGAGGCAGTTTTACTATGGCTCATGCACAGATGCAATCTAACACTAATTGAACACATATCCGTGATACAGCTACGTTCTGCTTCACAACTGATGAAAAATACGGCAGTTAAGATTTAACTGCTGTATTAACAGTAGATCAGATTCAACAGACACTCTGGAGCCCTTCATATTCTAGTTGCTCTAACTGCCTTGTCATCCACACCGGGTTTTACGCACAAGCATTAACTGTTATAACTTTCTGAGTGCACTTGTAGCCTTCCAGGGAATTTGCAGAAACCCTTCTCTCAGATAAAGAAGCTATTTTGCATTTACTGCGCCTGGTAATGGATGAGAGAAGATGCATAAACCTGCAGAGTTACGGCACAGACTGCGATGGACAGCATCTTGTTACGTGCCCTGATCTGTTCCTGCGTGAAAGCCCTTTGATCCCTCCCACAGGAAAGGACTGAATCCTTATAGGGCTCCTAAGAGGAAAAGCAGGACGTTCACCAGAGTATGCTTTGTAACAATAATGGAATTTGGAAAAAGCGTTAGACTGCCAGAAGACTCGCAGCTAGCAATACATTTCAGTGTCCTTACACAGCAATGCAGTGGTTTAAAGATATCAGTTTATTAACAGATGCCATTAACCATGCTTGAGGAAAAAATACCTTTGGACATAAAAAATTTCTCATTCTGAAGAAACATTAGAGAAAGACAAACTCTACTATGAAGAGTAAAGCCAATGGACTTCAGAAAAAAAAAAAATCTCAATAATATCACACAAAACCATGCATAATCCTTTCAAAGTCTAGACTTTCAGACTTTACTACAGAAATGTGAAGCCAGACAGCAGATAGCTGGTGACAAGGTCTGCTGTCTGGGAATTACACCGAAGGCAGCTTGGGCCACTGTGACCACAAAAAGGTGGGGGGAAGAGTAGTAAAAATGATTGCCAGCAAACCAGCTACTTTTGAATGAAGGAGAGGGATTCTGCTAGCCGTGCAAAAATCAGATGAGGCTCATTACTGAGTAACAGGCCGTGAAAAGGACATGTCACTTTTTCTGCTTTTCTTTTCTTATTAAAAAAAAAAAAAAAAAAGCAAAGGGAAATTCTTCTCTGAGATCTGGGAAGTAATACAAATTCAGATATTTTCCTGAATAAGGAGAGGATGCTCCTTCACACAGATAGAAGGATGGTCATTCATATGTACAAAGGATGTACTCTTTGTATTGGAGATACCTTTGCTCCAGGTATTTTCAGACATGAATCTGCAAAAGTATTCAGGTATATGGAGAAGCAAAGAGTGAAATAATCTTATGGAAATGCATATAGATGCATCTTGACAAAGTTGGAATGAGTTGGAATGTTGCATTTTAAAAGGAAACAAAACTACAAAAATGAATGCAAGAAGTGCACAAATATGGGAAAAATTATGACTTTCGTAACAAAATCTGTTTTTACCTTTAAACACCTAACAATAAATGTGTTGGACAAGCATAGTTTAATCCTCTACACTGCTTGAAGAACTAAGTGCCTTCTTTATTGTTCAGGTCAGCTAAAACTTGGTAGCCACTGCCATTTATACCAGTTTTGGAAGAAGTTCTTACAGGCACCGTATAGCTAACACACAGCTCTCCAAACAAAGAGATTAACTGATCAAAGCACCCTTAGCTAACAACAGGCTTTTCCCTGGATATCTTATTAATCCCTGTTTGAAACAGAGTGTAAAATTATTGCACTGGAGTGAGAAACAACACAAAGACTACAGTGGCAAAACAGAAGGGAAGGTAGTGCACACTGGGGAAAGTTAAAAATGCCAGTTTATGTGTGGCTGCAGCAAAAAACTCCCGAAGTCAGTCACTTTCTGGGATGAACCCCTATGTCATGCCTGGATGTACAGGATGCACAGCCTCAGGAAAATTCTGCTCAGTGAACTGCAATTATTGTACATTTCCAGCAAAAATACTGTTGGGCTTGCAGCATTATGGCTCCCACATGATATTTTCTGCAGTCCAGCCTGAATCCTTGCATGCGGATACCTGTCCTCTCCATAGGTCACACCTATGTTAAAACAAAGTATCTAACTGCATATATGCCCTTTCTGCTGAAAATGAGATGTAACAGAACCAACTTAGCTAGCAATGTAGCTTTCAAATGTTACCCACTTGCATGCAACAGTTCCATCCTAAAAAAAAAAAAACAAAAAAAAAAACAAAACCAAAAAAACAAAACAAAAACAAAACCAACCTCCATTTTCCCAGATGACTTGAAAATTTACCTTTCCACCACCCAGAACCAAGTATAAAGCATGTAAATTAAAAGTCCCATGTATAAGCAAGTAGGTGTATAATGGAGCAAATTTTGTTTCATGGTGCAGGAAGCTTTCTTCTGAATCACAAGAAAACTTGAGCAGTCTTAAAGGCAACACGCTTTAAATATCACTGAGATTTTCATGTATTTTCATGTGCTCTGGTCTAATTAAAAATTACTTAAATAATTAAACAGTATTAGCTTGTATTTACACTGCTCTATGAATAGTCTCTAGAGTAAAGATAAAAATATGTATGCTGAATGTACTCCAGTAAAACATTTCAGATTTAGGTAAGGAAAAACGGAGTACAGAAGAAGTTCCATTTTGTACAAATTTGTATGTGTGTATAAAATACTCGTTTTTTGTGTCTGTCTGTGTAAAATGTATGTACTACAAGCATCCACACCCGCATTCAGCTTGATGCCAGTAGTAGCACAATCTCTCATAAAAAGTCTACATCTAACTTTAGCCAGAGATGTAATTTTCAGGTAGTGCTGAAGGCTACAACTGAACATGCAGAATAACAGCCCCCTTCTCTGACTTGGTGCTACAGAAGACAAAACTTTTAAAGAAATCCAAAGAGTCTACTCAAAGCCTTATCAATACACATAAATATAGAAGTGGCTATAATAGACTATTATACTTTCTTTACTGAATTTCAATGCTACTGTCAACCCTACCTGTAAGAAACGAAACTGAATTTAATCCCTGTCTTCAAATTTCAGTACGCATTAAAAGCTGATAAAAGAATACATTTGCAACCTACCCTGATTTTTCACCTCAGCGAATTCTTTATTATATTCCTCTAGAGTTTCCCTAAGTTTCTGGTTCTCTGTTTCAATATCGTGCATACGTTGAACCTTCAGCTGAAGCTGCTGTCCTAAATCCAAGGCTGGAACTGGATCTGAAAAAGAAACAGTAAAATAAAATGTAAGATAACAGGAACACTTCTGTGACTCAAGCAGTCTAAAGCACAAGTGTCCTTTTTTTCCTCTATTAACATCCATTTTAAGTTTCACTAAGGCCCTGTTTTGAGTTATTTGTCCTCTGCGTTCCTCACCTCATATCCTGCAAGCTTCAAAAAGTAGAGGTAGTTGACTGTATTTATGTTACCCTTTAATTGAGGCATGCCTTCTTCATCCTGGCGTGAATCCACAGGGCAGTCATGATACAAAGGCATGTGAGAGTCTTAAGTTTCAAATTTTTGTTTGGAAAGTGAGAAATTTTGGGCAAAAAGCAATCAGACTGCACAGCTCACTGACAGCTATTGTCCCTCACATACCTCTGCTTCTGCAGGGGTGAATTTCTGAACCAAAATGTGGCCTCCTGCACAGCTGAGCTCAAAAAGGTTATTTGTTCATGAAGATCTGAGCTATACCTTTTCTAACTGACAGACCAATAATAATCAGAAGTATTGTGTGGACACAATTAATTCCATGAACCTTGGGTTTTGTGACTCTTGTTCCCTCTTTTTCTTACACTACTAATTGAATAGAAATTGGAAACTATTTTGAATGTCCTCTCAGTATTAATTCTCTGATGTTTGTCCCCTTCTGCTAAAGACAGATCTTAGCACACACCTGACGTGTGCACGTGTGATTTATCCTGGGACTTCTTCCCAGTCAGAATAGGAAAATGCTGGAGTCTGATGGACTTATAAAAGATTATTGAATACATTTCTGTTATGGGCGCCAGCATCTCTTGTGAAATGGCTGCAAAGATTTAGTCTCCTGTTGAGGAATGCTAAACACCAAACTCAGTGGATCAACAACAGTATATATTAGGGAGTTCACTTAATTTTCAACCACCACAGTCATTAATTTTTCAGACCACCCTCAGTCTCTGGAAACACATAATAAGTCTATTGTACCTCTGTTAACACATTAAGCATGAGCCTGTGTGTTTTTTCAATATGCCAGCGTTGTTTCATAGTTTATAAAAGAATAGTACTGGGTTATGTTGAGCTCAGAGACATTATAAGTAGCAGCCTGCTGCATTTTGTTACTTTGGTTCTTCAACAGCTTATGGCATTACTCTGTTCATAATACAAAATCTAGGTTGCTTGTCATCTGCTCTCTGTACATACATAGTTTATGACTACATAGCTTTTTCATTTATGCTTTTTAGGCCAAATACTTTTCGTTATTATTATCTGTATTAAAATATTTATAATAAATCAAACTTAAAATGTTATTGTGGCAGAGACAGGGGGTACAGGTAAGGAATTAAATATAAAGTTTGAGTCACAGCAGTAGCACGAGTTAAAGGGCCTGCAATATTTATGTACGGTCCAATTACGGTACGGGCTGTCACAACATCACCCTTCTCCCATGTAGGTCTGCCGACCTTTATCTGGAATGACCGTTTTGTCACACTTCTGCAGCTCAGCATTTCTCCAAAAGAGCTAGCCCAGGACATTCATCTGCTGAACATAAAGAAAGGCTGGATTGTCTCAATCTATCCACGTCTTAAATCGTTACAGGAACCGCAAAACATATCAGGTGGAGATCTTGAGCTTCAGCTATGATGCTTCTATATAATGCTGTTCAAATGCCACAATGAAAGAAATTGAACCTTACAAAATTGTGGGTGCACTTCCCCCCCACATGCCCGTTGTAAAAAGCCACAACACCCACAAGAGCTACTTTGCTCCAAATACACAGGGCTTTTTATATTTAAATCACTAAAGAATTAAAAGACAAAAATAACATGGGCATTATAAAGTGAATAATGACTAAACCTTTAGTCAAATTTGCAATCCCTGAGAAGCTCTATGTACAAAATGAAAATGCTTGCAATCTCATAATTATTCATCAGGACATGTATATTTAATTTAGCTCTATTAAAGGTTAATGTTCAAGTAGCAAAACAGTAGCAGAACAAACAAAATGTAAAAACAGTCTCTGTGCATTAAACTTCAAACTTTACTAGAGCCTATTTGAAGGACTAATGGCCTGCAGCCACTAAATACTGCTTAAGGACATGTAAAATCCAAGGCTGAAGCACCTCTTAGACTTAATTTTTATAAACTGCATTAAAGGAAACTAATCATTGCATGACAATAAAATGACCAAGACATTTTGGGCAGAGGGACAAATACTTAATTTCTCATGGCAAGCCCCAACATGCTCTTTAATCTCAAAAAACCTAAAACCCCATGATTTCTGAAATATTTATAGACACCAATTAATCTGAAACAAGCATAAACCTTACAGTCAGAATGCCTTTTTTCTTACCTGAGTGGATTTAAAAATAAATAAAATTACTCTCCTTTACCCAACATATGCATGCATGAAAAACCATACCTTTTTGTATTAACCAGACTTACGAAGTATGTTTCATGTCATTTAACAGGAGGTCACTGAATTTTTAAACAAGCAATGGACCAAAACTTTCAATTCATTACACAAACAACAGGCATACACATTTCAAAAAAAAAAATCAAGTGGCACTAGCCTATGGAGAGAGGCAAAGAAGGAAATGCCCTTTCTGTAGTCTATAAAACAGAAAAATCATCTCACTTAACACTTAAATGTGGGAAACTCATCACAGATTATTCTCTTGGTTTGAATCTTCTCTGGCTTGCAAAAGTTCAGAATCCCTGCTAGGCACAAGATAAATAAGAAATGAGAAAATTGGTAAAGGGAATCTGATCATCCAGAACTTGAAAAAGTGTTTCACAAGATCATTATCACCCCAAATTGAGATGTCTATTTTTATATTAATCTGGTATATTTTTTCATACTGCTTCCTACTCTGTTCTACTTTCCTAATCCACTTGTTGCATCCCCTGCCCACAAAGCAGCCCTCTGCATCATGTGTTTGTAGGCAGCCCAGCACATCTGGATCCGATCCATGTTAAGGCTTCCTCCACACTACCGCAGGAGAAACAGGAACTGCTGTATTTTAAAACCAGTATCTGCAAAGCCCGTTCCTGCCTTTATTTCCCAACTATTGGCCTTTCAGTGCCGTTGCACAAGCAACTCTGAGCACATCCCTGTGCTCACGCACTGCTGTGGCACACCGCACCGGTCCCCTGGCAGGAGAGCCTCTATCCTCACGAAGGAGGTGGATGGACATGTCTCAATGAACAAGGGCGTGAAAAAAATTAATGTTACAAGTGTAATTTAATTTTTATAATGGTTAATACTTCACATTGAACAAGCTGGTGCAATGCAGCCACAGTAACACCTCTTGGACTGTCCTCACACTATATACATGCACTGGTGATAGATATTTTCGAATACTAGTGCAAGAGAAACAATTTTTCTTTTGCTGCTGCTTATGCATGTAAACTATGTATTTTATGAACAATTTTAAAAGAAGCACAAGGACGGATCTCACCAAGACAGCGCATACCTAGAGATAGGTATTGTACATATAATAACCTCTCCACCCGCAAGCCCACACTGCTCAGACCAAACCCAACCTCAGCCCAGGAGATAAACCAGGACTGTCGGTGACAGGCTGAATTTCCAAAGCGAGTTTTAAAAAAAAAAAAAAAAAAAAAAAAAATCACCATTCCTCCCTCATTCTGCGAGCTGGAAAAAGACACAGATCTTAATAATTCAATATAAGTGTTTACACAAAGAGCACTGTGGGTACCGCTGCCCTCCCCTGTCATTACAGAAATGAATGCACCCCCTTGTGAGCGCCGCTCCTGCGATGACATCACGCTCCTGCCCGCCTCACTTTTCGCCAGGGCACTCTAGGCTAATGTAATCATACGATTACATAATTAACCCAGCTGTCTCATTAAGAAAATCAACTGGAATTCAGGGCATAATTAGTCATACAGCAATTAGCATGCTGATGAGCAACTGATGAAAAGCTGTCTCGATATAGAGTATGCTGGGACCACCCTCGTTATTTAAGAAGGGGGGGGGGGGGCGCGGAAAAAAAAAGCCCACCGCAGCTCACGGAAAATAAGCTCGGCCTGGAAAGTTCGTGCGGAAGCCCCTCGGTGGCGGCTGGTCCCGCCGCCGGGTGAACCTGCCCGCTCCCGCCGGCGGCTGCGGGGCGCCCATTGCCCCAGGGAGGGGGGGAGGCTCCGCCGCTGCGGCGTGCGCAGCCCGCAGAGCCCCGCGGCCCACCGCCCCCTCCGCCCGTCCATCTAGCCATTTTAAGAAGGGCCCCGGGCAGTCTCTCCGAGGCCAGGCCGCAGGGGGCTGCCCGGACCCCGCGGCGAGAGCGGCAAGGAGCGGCCTGGATCGCGCGGCGCGGAGCGGAGCGGAGCGGGAGGCGGCGGCCCCCGCGCCCGGGCAGGCCGCGCCGAGGGCGGCCCGCGCTGAGGGCAGCCCGCCCGCCCGCCGCAGAAATGCCCTGCCCGCCGCCGAGTTGCAGGCTGTGGTCATCTGGTATCTTAAAATGGAGCTCCTGAGGAGACTTTTCCAAAACAAAGGACTTTTCCTAAATCCCCTCCTCCCTCTTCGCTACAGGCCCAGAACACTGGAAACGTTAAGCAAGCAAGTTATGAAACAGTGCCAGAACTACAGGGGCAATTAATATTTTAGATCGCTGGAAATGTGTTTCCTAAGGTTCGGATCTAAAAATAATTAATCGAAGGCAGTGCGTTTCTTTCCACAAGACTGTATTTCTGTTGCCTAAACCACACTGTAAGCAAAGCTTTCTCAGCAATTGCTCACAAGAAACGCCCACACAAAATGATAAGGGGGGTGGGGGGGGGGAAATCCTCCTTAACACAAGTATATTAAGGTGATTTAACTTCTTTAAAAAGCCAGAGGTTCAGCTCCGCTGTCACAATACTTTCATCGCAAAGTAAAAGAAGTTTCTGAGTTTCTAAATGCGTCGCTGGCCAGCCCTGCCACTGCTCTTTGCGATGAACGTTTCTTTTGGACAACAGGCTCTGGTTTACGGGCAGGAAGAAGGGTTATTAGCTTTTGA